AAGTTTACATCAACTACGAAGAACCCTATTCACGTTATTATTAAAACAACTTATACACACAATGTCAACACAGTTGAGTGAGGACTCATCGACATAGTTGCGTGACCACAAGACGTTGTATACATAGAATTTATTAAAACAGTTCATACCTATGCGACTATTATCGACTGTACTTTCACATGACGATACCGCAAAGTCAAATCAAGGTACTATACTGCCGTTGTTTACGTTCGAATTCCCTTGCACTGTGCCACGCGCGAATTGTGTAGCGTTTGTACACAGGGACTGTGGTTTGCAGTATCACCGGTACCACTACGCCAGGTGCCATCAACTGCTACATTACGCCTGAAAACGCTGGGCGTGTGTATCGTCTACACGGCATATGACCAATAACTGTTTGGTGGACCGAGCAAGGCTATTCCCCGAGGAATAACAAAAGCCCGTTATTTCCGAGTACGAAGGTGGTAGCAGCACCTTACCAATCGGGTTCACCCGACTTACTTTCTCCATGGATGTACTAAGTACATCCATGCTTTCTCCTACTGTTTGACTTGATCATGAACTCACGGTTACTATGAACCGTGATGGACTCCATCGATTCGGCTCTCCTCGCTCGGCGTCGCTGTATTTTCTTTGAAACACTCACATATTATCAATTCTGCCATTAATAATAAATGACATGTTTGCTATTATGTTGATCTTTACAAAATACAACCATTACAAAATCAACAGGGTGCTTCTCGCGATCGCCTGGCAACGGGATCTCACAATCAAAGGCAAGCAGTCAAGATTGTTCAAGCACGGCTGACTGTGTCAACTTCTCCACTAATTTACATACGAATTGTTTCCATGGTTGTGCCGTCACAAGTGGGTCCAGGGCCTCACTGATGGAGTGTAGGTGCATCCAATTTCAAAATAATTTCAAGAACTCGTTCGTGTATATCGACCCAAATCGATCGAACTACAACATGACTTCAACATTTATTCGTAGAAACGTTCGATCTAGTCAATAAAATAACAAAACTGTACAATCTAAAGCACACGAAGAATATATGTACTGTAATACCAGGGACCTACATACCCCGCAGTCTACGGCGTAATCAAATACACTATTTTTGTATCTTTGCTGTAGTCGAGTATTTTTATTCATGTTTATCGAACCTATTGTTTTCTTCCAACGGTAAACAAAACCAGACTAGTTACCTCGATATAATACATATACATTTCCTTTTTCGAGTCAAATGAAGTCGGGCAATGATAAATGCTGACGTCACTACCAAACAACGACCTAAAACGAACGTTCCGAGTGTGGTCGGCTGGACCACCATCAGTTTACGGTGTACAGCCGTGGGCAGCCGTAGAAATCTTGGTTACGGGGGTAGGTTTCCGAGCAAATGGAAAATCCAACCGAACTAATTGCAAACGAGTATCCGTGTATCAATCAACTATGTCATCCTTTCGACCGCATTCTCTCACCCCATTTTTATTATAAAAAACAGCATGTACCTTGTTATGATAATAAATTGTAGATGTGATGTTGGATATATTTATGATGAAATGATCATGCACGATTATTCATTACGAAATATGATTACCTAAATCTATTTAATACCGGCTTCTGTGTTATTGTTAGACACCGGGACTCTTAGCAATTACCCAATGCTTGAAAAGATACGGTTTAGTTTGTCCTTGTTGGAGGAATGTGTGCGAATGTACTTCTAAGTTAAACATTTATTTACGCGAACGCATGGGGAAAATGGTAATATGCCAATGCATACGGTACTATCTGACTCTTTGGGATCATTATGATACGACACAGAGCGCTCTTTCGCTTCGTGGCCTCGTCCTAAGTATTATTTACAGATTATGCGGGATCACGTCAGTATGGCAAACAAGCAGCAACAGCTCCGCAAAATGTCCTGTTTTCGACCCGTTTTGATTTGACACTCGATGGTGAGCTCATTTATTAATACCAAGTAAGTTTTTAAATATATTGAAGGTAATGTCAATTTGCCCGTCTTTCAATATTGCTTGTTTCATGAAGTACGGCGCCACGAAATTCGGCAAATAGACAGATTGTTGCTCTTGGTGTAATGACAGTACTTGTGGGACCCGTGGACAGGCAGGTCATCGCGATAACAACGTTAAATAAAACTCAAATAAACGGAACCAGCCAACTATGAAACTGCCCTGAATGTTGTGTTATTACGGCGTTTCCATATTAACCAATACATAACCCGGGGTATATAGACGCAAGCCGCAGTCATACGAATAATGTGAGTTCTAATGTCTTTCTTATCACTGTAATCGAGTGATCACACCACCTTACGGTCACGGTCACCACAGATTTTTGCAAAAGCTGTAAAACAATGGGTTTTTTTATGTTTAGAAACAATTCGACAATTACCGACGCAAAACGAAATAATTGTAAAGATGGCTTTTCTCTGACTAATGCCGTGGTGCATCGTGTCCATACTGCACGGCATCGATATGGTTACTATGCAACCGTGTCACAATAACGCACACGTCCTCAGTCCTCGACGGTGTCCGCTGTGTGGACATAGTTGAATTAAGGGTGAAATATAGGTACATATCGTAGAATAGCCCCCCTGATCAGAGTTTTCTGACGTCGTGGCTTATATAAATTGCATTTTGCAAGACCATGTGTATAAAAAAAAAACATACTTGATAGGGTATGGTAACTTTTTCAAGATATGCGTCACCTTTAGAAGGAGAAAAACATCAAGCCGGGGATGAGTAGAAATCGTAATTTATATTATATAATGTTGACTTTCGGTAAGAATGGTTTAAATAATGGGACACGAGAGCGGTCGACACAATTCATATCAGTTCCGACATTGAGAAATTAAAATATTTCAAGTTGAATCGACAAATGGCCGGAAACTGCTACTGTGACGCAGTGAATAATCCTTTACTCGTGGAATATGCCTACATACTATATCACTTAGTTGTAACATGATGAACGAAAATGAAGTGTATGAAAAATAGAAACACGAGCCTGACACCTACGTACCACACTGACAAGCATGTTAATTTCACGAGTCTAGGAATATAGCGAAATGTTATAGCAGTGAAGATTTCAATGGAGAGTGGTTTGTCACAATATTCTCCGAAACGCTTCCAAATATAAGGGCATACGGTAATAGAAAACTATTATGATATAACTGGGTGTACCGTCAGCTCTGAGGCTGAGAGGTCCCCCGGCTTGCGTTTAATTAAACTCGGCGCATGCTGCTATGGATGCCAACGCAACTTCTTTCGACACAATATTATTATATTAAAAGCAGGATGATTTTTTTTTTACCTGTCGGACGTCGGAGTAAAAATTGCAGCTGCGTGGACTGCCACGAGCTTAAGTAAATATAACAAGAGCCCGCCAATGTCCCAACAAGTGGCGACCTATGTCTGTTTCTATGGTGATACTTAACCACGCTCCCGAAATTACTTTTTAAGTAGGAGGAGGAGGACAGACGACTGGAATTTCCTCGATTTCAATGAAGCGAGTTTGTCTCTCGTTATTTAACAATGTGTTGTTGGATGATAGAGGACTATGAAA